CTCTAAATCCCATTCATTTTAATGGAAGTTGGCCTTTTGACTCAGCTTTGAAAATCTCAGCCCAATGTGCCAACCAAAGAAGTCAAAATATATTTTGTATTTCTATGCAGTGCATCTATGTGGGGCTCTCCAAGCATTTTACAAACATTAAATGAACCTCAGGATGAGCCCAGCCGGAGCAGCAGGGGCTCAGCTGCGCTTTCCCCCTACCTGCGCTGGTCAGTCCTGAGAGGCACACGGCTCCACCGCCACTTCTGCTGGCTGGTGCTCACCCGGGCGGGTCTGTCCCATCTGGAGCAGCACGCAGCTGAAGCCGGGTTCCCACGTGCTGCTGGGGACGGGAGGAGCCCAGCCGGGTCGGCACCGGCCAGCAGAAAAAAAAGTCCCCATAGGTAGGAAATAAACTTCATTTTTTGCAGAAAAGGACATTTTTCTTGCCATTTTCCAGTTGGTCCAATAAAAGGTATCATTTTGGAACCAAGAGTTCTAGTTTTTTATATGTCTTCATTTCCTAGCTCTTCTTTTCTCAGGTACTTCTAATGATTTAAGAAGAAAGGCAGGATGAAGGAAGGAAGCACTTCATGGTAAATGACTTGGTGGATAAAAATACATTTTTTTTTTAATTTAAAAAAATCTGACTTTTTTATTTAAATAAGATTTTTTTGATGTCATTATATTTTTTGTGAAGATGCTTTAAAAAAATCCAATATAAAGATAGTTTTCATTTAAGAAATGTTAAAGCTCATAGATATCATCATGGAATAGGGATTATAACTTCTAAGCATATACTATTTGAGACAATAATGCTGGATAAAGTGTATAAGAAAGAATTTAAACAGCATTCAAGCAGTCCAGGGAAAAATTATTAGCCCGAGTCTTGATGGGTGGAGCGATGTCCACAATGATCCAGTAATATGTGCTTGTGTGACAACAGAAGGGACGGTCTACCTTACAGAAACAATTGATACATCAAGAAATGCGCACACAGTGGAATACTTACAAGAGGTAACAGTAAAAGCTATACCAAACAGTGAAAAAAATTCAAATGTCTAATATGCACCTTTGTCACAGACAATGCTGCAAATGTATCAAAGATGAGAAGAAATCTAGAAGAAAGTGAAGAAAGCACAAACTAATAACATATGGCTGCAGTGCTTGTTTGAAACACCTCTTAACCAAAGATTTCGGTGCTCCAGAAATAAAGGCTAACGTTGCTGAAATTGCAAAATACTTCCATCACAACCACTTTGCAGCAGCTGCTCTGAAGAAAGCAGGAGGAACCAAACTAACTCTCTCACAAGATGAGCGATGGAGCTCAGTATCGGGCTGTTTTGAGCGGTATATTGAGATCTGGCCTAATCTGATGACAATTTGTGAACAAAATTGTGACAAAATAGATGGAATTGTTATAGCCAAAATTCTCAATGTTGGGATAAAGAGAAATATAGAACATATGCCGACTATCCTGAACCTGTTTCCATAGCCTTGAACAAAGTGCAGGGAAATCACTGTTTTATTGTTGATGCTGTTGAAGTTTGGAAGGAACTGAGTGAGACCTTGCAAAGAGAAATACACAACAGAGTTAAGTTACAGGCATTTAAAACAACGGGTGGATCAAGCACTACCTCCAGCTCATTTTCTTCCTAATACTGTCAACATTCAGTTCCAGGGTCAATTTTTAACTGCTGAAGAAGAGAAGTTGGCTATGACATGGGCATCCAGCAATCATGCCTCCATAATACCAATTATAACACATTTCAGGGCTAAGGGTGAACTATTCAAAAATACATGTTTGCTGGTGAGGTTTTAAAGAAAGTCACACCAGTGAACTGGTGGAAGTCACTTAAGCACCTGAATCCATCAAAGACTTGAAGTGATAATCCAGCTTTTAACAGCAGTAATTTCTTTACAAGACTTATGAGGGGAGGCTGAAGGAAATGGGCTTATTTATTCTAGAGAAAAGAAGACTGATGGGGGATTTAATAGCAGCTTTTAACTACCTGAAAGGGGGTTCAAAAGAGGATGGAGGTAAACTGTGTTCTCAGTGGTAACAGATGACAGAACAAGGACCAATGGTCTCAATGGACAGGCTGAGAGCCATGGGGCTCTTTAGCTTGGAAAAGCGCAGGCTCAGGGGTGATCTGATGGCCACCTATAAGTTTATCGGGGGTGACCACCAGTATCTGGGGGAACGTCTGTTCACCAGAGCGCCCCAAGGGATGAAGAGGTCAAATGATTATAAACTACTGCAAGACTGTTTCAGGCTGGACATAAGGAAGAATTTCTTTACTGTCCGAGCCCCCAAGGTCTGGAACAGCCTGCCATCGGAGGTGGTTCAAGCACCTACACTGAACACCTTCAAGAGGAAATTGCTTATCTTGCTGGGATCCTATGACCCCAGCTGACTTCCTGCCCCTGGGGCGGGGGGGCTGGACTCGATCTTCCAAAGTCCCTTCCATCCCTAATGTCTATGAAATCTAAGTTGCAGCAAGGGAAGTTTAGGTTAGGTAGTAAAGCACTGGAACAGGTTACCCAGGGAGGTTGTGAAATCTCCATCATTGGAAGTTTTTAAGATGTGGCTAGACAAAGCTTTGGCTGGGACAAAATCATAGAAAATGAGGGTTGGAAGGGACCTCAGAAGATCATCTATCCAACGCTCTGCTCAAGGCAGGACCAGCCCCCACTAGATCACATCAGCCAAAGCTTTATCTAGCTGGGCCTTAAAAACCTCCAAGGATGGAGCTTCCACCACCTCACTGGGTAACCTGTTCCAGTGCTTGACTATCCTCCTAGTGAGAAAATTCTTCCTAATAGCTAACCTAAACTTCCCTTGCTGCAACTTGAGACTTAAAAAAA